ATGTTATCTAAAGGGGATCTTTACAAATTAAGGATTAAGTGGAAGAATTAATTAATTCTTAATTCTATTATTTGGTAAACAATATTAATAAAAACTGCAGGCTTTATAGAAATATTATTCAATGAGATATTTGCATATTTAGAATAGATACATGAAGAACTTTGCTATATTTGCATATAATGAAACAATGTTTGCAGGAAAGACCACTATTCAGTAGAGCTATGAAAGCCATTCAGAAAAAGGTCTTTGGATGTTGCTTCAGCATAGCACTTCTCTCTTATTAATTAAAAAAGTCCAAATGTTTCCAATATGAACTTGAAAAAATGGCTTTCTTGCATTAATCAAAATTAATTTTAAAATGTCAAGCTGCTTTAATGAGTGACTGAGAGATGCTGCACTCACACAAGGTCCAAAGCATTTTCTCCAAATGATTTTTGAACCATGGTCTGCCTTAGAACAATTATTTTCACAACGTAAAGCTCCTTAACCAGTGAAAGAATTAATCTCAGAACAAGTATGTTGATTTGGACATGGTCCTAAAAATCTTTCAATGAGTTCCAATACCTGTTTGGTATGAATCTATCCATTGCATTGTACTTTTTAAAAGTACATTCCAACTTATTCAGCATTCCTCCAAACCTTCATCAGTTAAACTGTTTTTTAAATCTGTGATTAAAAAATGAACCCATCACTGCTTTCTTTTCCTTCCTTTTTTCTTTCATCCTGCATGGAGAAATGCAAATGCTTTTGTTTTCTTGCTGTTGGTTTGCTTTTCTGCTTTTCTACAACATCTCTTTTACAGTCACTGCCATTTTAATTTCACAGAATATACCAAGCACAAAATTCTTCTTAGGCATTCCATGGGGAAAGCATTACCATTTCCCCCTGATGGTATAGTTTGCATATGATCATCTAGAATAGCTGCATATCTGTTCTGGGAACATTCTGCTTGATTTTTCTTCTTGGAGAAAGTCTAAAAGTCATTCCAGAATTGGTGGACTCTGCCAAGTTGTTTTTTGTTTGTTTGAAGGTTTTCCCATCTTATTTATTTATTGTGCTTGTATACTCAACTCACAACAGTTTACAATAAGCCATTAAACATTAAAATACAGATAAAACTAAACAGTAGTAACCATGTAGTAATACAATAATAAATAAAACAAGCAGACAAACTAACAAACAATCTCAAATACCTTGACACCAGCTCATCCATCTAGTTACCATAGTTTTACATTATCCTAGAGTATAGACTCTGACTTTGTAGCTTTACAAATCAGACCAGGGGTGGGTCCATGGAGAAGATCTTTTACAAAATGCAAAGTGGGGAAAAACATTTCTTGGCTCCCACATTTCTCACTCTTGACATCTGAGAATCTTGTCTCAAAATGTATATGGTCTCTTGCTTGAGCAGGGGATTGGATTAGAAGACCCTCAAGGTCCCTCCCAGCTCTATACTGATTGATTGATTGACTGATCTTCACGATCACCAACTGAGGTGAACATACTGGGTGATCAGTTCTAGTTGGAGGAGGCCTACCTGCAAGTACTTATGAGCCAAACTATAGCTTTACAACTGAACACCACAAGCACTTAGAATTGTACCAGGTAGCTTACTGGAAATTTATGCAATGCCTGCTACTTAGGTGTCACACAGCATTAACAACTCTTATCTATCAACATGCATCTAGCTGCATTCTGTACCAACTGAAATTTCTGAGTTGTCTTCAGAGGTAGAACTATTCAGAATATTCAGAAGACAGTAGACTATTCTGATGCTGATGAGAGCCCAGGTTATTGTCAGTAAGTTCTCCCACTCCAGATAAGCTCACAACCTTCAGCTAATGCAGTGGGGTAGTTTTCTGGCCAGTGCCTTAGTTTGCAAATCCAATAGTAACTGTGAGCCCTGATCCAAGTCATGGACCTGTAATTTCAACAGGGCTATCCCATCCACAGTTAAAAGCAGAGCAGATGGTTTTTGCACAAAAACTGCTTTCCACTAAGATCTGTACCAGGTCAAGAATCATGTCAACTTTTGTTCTGGCATTTGACCTTGAACTGAAAGGTGACCTCTTCCGGTGTAGAGTGTAAAAGCCCTAATCTTAGCCTACAACAAAGGACTCACTGGATCAACCTTTTCTCCCCTTCAACTGTTACTGGGTACTTGGGAAGGAATCAATTCTGTATAATGTGATGCCTCTAGTCTCCAGCCCCCAAAGGAGGTCCAGAAGAAGACCAAGTGCAGTGATATTGAGAACCACTAAAAAGTCAAGGAAAGAGCATATGTTTACTTTTTAAAGCAAAATAATCTTGGCTGAGAACCAGTCACGACCCACAGACTAAACACTGTGGCAGGAGAATAAATTACCCATAGATAATGTTCCACAAAACTGAAGTGAGGGAATGTATTAAAATAACACAAGAAGGCTGAAAATCAGCTAAATCTCTCCACATATCTGATGAAGCAAGCAAGACCTTCTGCCTTTTAATAAAATGTTTTCATTAGAAAAGGTACTACCAGAATCCTTCTAATTTTAGTCTGCCACAGATTAACCCAACTTTCCACCTACAATATAATGTCTACAAAAAAACTGGTACATTTGCCACACAGGAGAGAAACTTCACTGATGAACATATCATGTCATGTTACAGCTTCAGTGCTTGTCCTCTTATCTTACTGTTAAATATGTGAGACATAGGAATTAGCTCCAGGAAGCTTGGCCTTTGCTTTAGGAACAAAAGCATGCACAGAATGTAATTTTATGAGTGCAGACAAATGTTTTAATCTCAAATTTTGAAACTCTGAGGGGAAGTTTTGACTATTAAAAAGTTGCTATTTAATTAGTGAATCAATCAATTTGTATAATTGATCAATCAGCAAAAGACAGGGCAGTGTGCATCATTAAAATATCAATAAAAGCAATAAAATCATATAAAAGAACATACAAAATGAAAACCAAAAGAAAGACATCTGGAATTGGTTAGGGCTATAAAATAAATCAAATGTCTTTGTGCACAGATTTGAGAAGCAGATTTGAGAAATTTGCCAAAACAAGTTCTATCCTGGCATAATGATAGCATTGAATAGAGTCTGCCAGCATTTTTTTTTTTTTTTTTTTGGTCAAAAACTTGCCCTCCTCCAAAAGTGTGAGGGATGCAACCTGAAAAAGAACATGTTCCTGAAAGAAGTTAAACCAGAGAAATGCATTTTTTTAAAAAGTCATGTACTAATACACACACACACACACACACACACACACACACACCCCAGTGGTGGGATTCAATTTTTTTTTACTGCCAGTTCTGTGAGCATGGCCTGGTGGGCATGACAGGGAAAGGATACTGTAAAATCTCTAGTCAGAGGTGGTATTTGCCATTTCTCTGAACTACTCAAAATTTCCGCTACCGGTTTTCCAGAACTGGTCAGAACCTGCTGAATACCACCTCTACCTCTCCCCCCCCTCTCTCTCCCTCCCTCTGCAAATTTGCATTTAAAAAGAAAAATAACTAGAAATGTATGTTGAATTTATGTTGAAATCTCTCAGTCAAGAAATGGAGATGAGCACCATGCTCTAGTGTCGGACATGATTGTACAGGGAAACCTTCACCTTTTTACCTAGAAATTATTAACTGTGCAAGTTATAGAGCATATTTCTATTGAATTAGGAATGAAATTTTCATAAATATATTTTTAAAATATTTTTCATATATGATTTCATTCACGAATGCAAGACAGCTACCTGGCTAAGCATTTTCTTTGTCCAGCATATAAGCAATGGAACAGACAAAGGCACATTATTGATGCTGTTATTCAATGCATCATAACTAAGTAACTAATATTGCTAATAAGTATAGAACATAATAATCATCATACAAATGACTATTATGGGGAACATAATAGGTAATCCACTTTCAGTTCTCTGATTTTGGAAGAAAATGTACCTCACAAGAATTTGATTTTCCTTACTCATTACATACCTTTCTTTAGCACCTTTCTTGCAAGGGGAAACTAATGGGTGATTTTTTTTGAGTTGTATCCCCTCAAATCTTTCCATTCCGCCTTTTTAACCAACTCCAGTCCTAAATCATCTTACATTGTGCTTCTGCTTCATCAGCATCCATTAAAGTCAGAGATATATCTGATAGATAGCTGCCTTGGCATGATCAAAAAGATGTGGAACAGATTAAGGAAGGGCAGTGTCAATAGACAGAAGAAAAGTAGAAAAGAGACAAAAATATAACACATTGAAGTTATTTCTGTTCACTCAATTCTTGTAGCATTGGAAGCAAATTTGCTTCTTTTTCTCATTTCACGAAGTTTTAACTATTTAGGATTTAGTTTCAACACTTCTCAAGATAACTGATCATTTGAAGAGTTTCTGAATGGTGTGTGTTTGTGTGTCTCTCTGTGTATAATCACTCTGAAGTGAAATTGCACATTATAGCAACAATATTGTTACTGAAGATTGATTTCATAACCATTTTGGCATCAAAGCTCATTAAAGGAACCTCAATATGAGAAGAATTCATTGGATTTGTTCATTGCATCATCCTCACCATTCCAGCCATACACAGTTGGGGTCGGGAGAGGAGGGGGAGGTTTTTGAACCCAGGACCTTGCTGCATCATATATTTATTATTTTATTATTTTTATTATTATTTTTAGAAACAAAAATACAAATCTCTATTCACATTGTTCGTGTCATTATTAATACATACCTCTCCTTTTATACGTAAACATCAGCTCTTATTTCTATCCTCCACCCATTTGTACCACCTATCCCAAACCACATAATAGTCCGAATCATCTTTACCTCTTAATTCCATTGTGAGTTTATCCAGTTCCGCACGATCCATTATTTTTTGTGTCAAGTCTTCTTCGGATGGTATCTTTTCCTTCTTCCATCCCTGTGTGAAGGCTATTCTCGCCACATTTATTATATGTATAATGATGTATTGGATGACCTTGCTCAATTTCCCCTTAATTATTCCTAATAAGAATATTTCCGGTTCAAGTTCTAATTTGTGCTCTGTAATTTCTAATAACCATCTTTGTACCCTCATCCAATATTTTTTAACCTCTGGACACTGCCACCACCTATGGAAGAACGTTCCTTCTTTGTGTTTACACTTCCAACATTCTGCTTTTGTGTTTGGATATATTTTGGCCAGTCTTACTGGGGCCAGGTGCCACCTACAAAACATTTTATATTGATTTTCTTTAAATGCTGTTGACAATGTCAATTTACAGTTGTCAATCCACATTTTTTCCCCAATCCTCTAAATTTATATTATGCCCTACATTTTTTGCCCAGGCAATCATTGATCCCTTTACTATTTCCTCTTCTAATTCTACTTCCAACAAATAGTTATACATTCTTGTTATAAATTTTATCTCCTTGCCTGTCAAAATTTGGTCCAGTTGTTGTAAGTCTTTTTCTATCCCTTGTTCTTCTAAGTCCTTCCTAAATTTTGTCTGAATTTGTAAATATTACCACCAATCTATAATTATGTCTTGTTCTTTTAATTTATCAATCATTTGTAACTTCCCCTGATTATCTAATAGTTCTTCATATCTGACCATTTTCCTTGTATCTCTCATATTTGGATGTAATATCGCTTCCATTGGTGAGACCTATTTTGGTATCTTCTTATTATGTTTTCTTTTAACCTTTTCCCAAGTTTGCAGTAGTGATTCTCTTATCAAATGTCTATGGAAGTATGAATGTGTCTTGGTTTTTTTTGTCCCATAAGAAGGCATGCCACCCTGCTTGGAGGTCGTGGCCCTCAATTGCCAAAATTCTTTTGTTTTTCAAATTTATCCATTCCTTCACCCATAATAGTACTGCTGCTTGGTAATACAGTTCCCATTTTGTGAGTACACGTCTGCCTCTACTTCTACTATTTTGTAGAGTTTTTAGACTTAGTCATGCTTTTTTACCCAGCCATATGAATTTCATAACTATCTTGTTTAGCTCCTGAAAAAAACCTTCTATCTAATTTTATGGGAATTGTCTGAAAATAGCATAGTAATTTCGGTAGAATATTCATTTCTATCGCTGCTATCCGCCCTAATAAAGACAGTTGTAATTTCCCCCAGTTTGTCAGGTCCTTCTTTATCTGTTGAAGTAATTTCTTATAATTGTCCTCCTTTATAGAGGAACATCTCCCTGATAGCCAAATTCCCAAATATTCAGGTTTTTTTTGCCGTCTGCAATCCCATTTTTTCTTCTTTTTTCTGTCTTTCTGTCAATTTTTTTAGCTAATATTTTGGTTTTTTCCTTATTAATTTTTAATCCTGCTACTGTCCCATATTCCTCCAATTCTTGTAATAAATTTATCCCTGTCTCCATTGGTTCTTCAATAAAAAACACCAAGTTGTCCACAAATGCCTATACTTTATATTCTTCTCCTTTAATCCTCAATCCACCTATTTCTGTGTTTTGTCTGATCTGGGTTAATAGCACTTCCAGAGTCAAAATGAAAAGTAGAAGTGACATTGGACATCCCTGCCGTACACCCTTCCTTATTTTAAAACTTTCTGTTGTCTCTCCATTTATAATCACATTGGCTTTTTGGTTTGAGTATACAGCTGCATCATATATTTCACCTATTTTTGATTACACACAGAAACTAGAAGTGTAGCACAAATTTTATCTTGAGATTTGTATAAAAAGTGAGTTGCAGGATTGATTGTGCAGCACACTGAATGTAGCTCTGCTTTTCTCATCTGAGGATTGAATGTCTGAAGAAAGGAATACACTTGACTGCGAGTAAACTTACATTGAGCTAGGTTCCAGGGACTTCAAAGGATTTACAGATTTTGCCCATGAGCTTTTCTGAGTTGCTTCCCCAGAGTCGAATGAAAAGAAACCTGCATTTATTTATTTGCTCTCTCAATACTGAAGCAATTCTTTGTGTCTTACATAGCATGGTTCAAACAATCATTAAAAAGTGATAGAAATAGAAATAACGCCTTAACTTAACCATACAACAGGGAGAACTTTTGAGATACAGTGCCTACCTCCCAACCTTTGCAGATAGACTTGAAGGATACTATGATTGATGGTTTTGAATGCTACTGAGACATTGAGCTTCTCATGCTGCATTTTTCTTAGTTTGAGGAATGCCCCAAGGTCTTTATCTAAATTATACAGAATTCATTTCCTTCATCTAACCTTTCCCCCTCCTTCTTAAACAAGGGAGGGGCAAAAGATGGATTTTGAGGGGCTGGGAGTGGATTTTGCCTTTGATTTTGCCACATATTTTCCCCAGGGCTCTCTCTGTGCTTGTGTGTGTGTGTGTGTGTGTGTGTGTGTGTGTGTGTGTGTGTGTGTACAGTACCCAATCATGGGAGGGAGACGCTAATCCCATGATTGCAAAATTGGAAGAAATATAGAATTTCCATGGACAAATTATGCTCTACTTTGTCAGGCAACTGGAAGTGGACAGAACTTGGTGGGGAATTTGCCTCTTTTCTTTTTAGCCACTCTGAAAAATTCTCCTAGAAAATGAGTTTCCCCATTTCAACTGTTGGGAGAAGGAAGGAAAGGGACTTAAAGTCAGTATATAAAGATGTTTTTTTCTTACACCCTTCATTTGTTTTTAAACAGAGCATATCCACTCCCCTGTCTTCATCCTTGCCCATCTATTTGTTTCTTGATGAGACTCTACATTTCCATCTTAGCCTCCTTTTTCTTCTTCTTCAGTCTGGACTGCCCACTGGAGTCTTTTATCCTGGATCTTTCCTAGAAGAAACTAGATTAGTCTCATTCCTGAGTCATAGAAGTCCATGCACTCCAACAGGGAACCTGGCTCTAGAGGAGGTAGCCAGCAGGGGCACAGACAGTGAGAATGCAGAGGCTAACAGACTAAGTCTGCTGCTGAAGATAACATACTTAGTATATTATATTAGTATAATAGATAATATACTTAGGTAATATACATAATATACTTAGACTTCAGCAAGGCATTCAATAAAGTAAACCACAACCTACTTCTTGGTAAACTAGAAAAATGTGGGATAGAAAGCATCACCACCAGATAGATTTGTAACTGGTTGACAAACCATACTCAACAAGTTGTCTTTAATGGTACTATGCATATATGGAGGGAAATAAGCAGTGGGATTTCACAAGGTTTTGTCTTAGGCCCCAGTACTCTTCAATACCTTCATTAATGACTTAGATGAGGGAATAGAAGGGGAACTCATCAAATTCGCAGATGACACTAAACTGGCAGGAATAGCCAACACCCCAGAAAACAAGCTCAGGATCCAATGACAGACTTGAACAATGGGCCCTATCCAACAACATGAATTTTAATGTGGAGAAAAGCAAAGTTTTACACCTAGGTAGGAAAAACCAAAGGCACAAGTACAGAGTAGCTGAAATCTGGCTCAAAAACAGTAACTGTGAGAGGGGTCTTGCAGTCCTAGTGGATGTTCCTTTAAACATGAGCCAGCAGTGTGCGGCAGTAGTGAAAAAAAGCTAATATAATCCTTGGTTGTATAAACAGAGGCACAGAATCAAAGTCACATGAAATATTAGTAAGTACTTTATAAAGCCTTAGTATGGCCACACCTGGAATGCTGCAATCAGTTTTGGTCACCATGTTACAAAAATGATGTTGAGACTTTGGGAAAAGTACAAAGAAGAGCAACTAAGATGATTAAAGGCCTTGAGACAAAAACTTATGAAGAAAGGTTGCAGGATTTAGGTTTGGCTAGTCTAAAGAAAAGAAGAATTCGAGGTGCCATGACAGCATTATTCCAGTATTTGAGGGGCTGCCACAAAGAAGAGGGGATCAACTTATTTCCCAAAGCACCAGAAAGCAAGACAAGAAACAATGGATGGAAACTAATCAAGGAGAGAAGCAACCTGAAATTAAGGAGAAACTTCCTAACCGTGAGGACAATTAACCAGTGGAAGAGCTTGCTTATGGAAGTTGTAGGGGCTTCATCACTGGAGGTTTTTAAGAAAAGATTGGACAGCCACCTATCTGAAATGCTATAGCAGGGTCTCCTGCTTGAGTAGGGGGTTGGACTAGAAGACTTCCAAGGTCCCTTGCAGCTCTACTCTGATTGATTGATAATCAACTCTATGCTATTATTAAGCCTTAGCCTGGTGGGTCTGAAGAATTTAATAGTGAGTTCCCCCTAAATGGACTGAAACATTCAGATAACACATCTGGAAGCCCCAGTTGTTGAACTTCCACAAAGCAGCTTTTTCACACTTCATTTAATGTCCAGGATTTTCATGAAAATTACATAAGAGCTTTCATTTTCATGTAGCTTGGCATAACAAGATCAAGCGGCATGAAAATTCAGACCAGTGCTATCAGCTTCAATACAACTTCTCTCAAAATAGCATTCATTAACTGCTCTGCAACAGTCTGTAATTGTTATATGTGAAAATTTGCCTGGTATACCTAAGAATATATATATCCAGAGAGAATCCATATTTGTTCTTAATCTGACCTTCTAGATATCAGAACATTTATATAACTTGTTATTTTGCTAAAGTTCTGCAAAGTTACAAAATACGTATTATGTCCTTGGCTTGATTTGAGAATTTCATACTAGGTCGCCATGACATTAGAAGTTTGTTAATGATCTATTGTGTAATCTTTTAAGTGAAAAACAGGAAATCTGATGATGATGATGAAGATGAGGAGAGTTAGGGGATTTCCATGGAAGAGGGCTGGGAGGAATTATGGAAAAATACCCAGGACTACCCATTACTTTCTTATGAAAACCCCTAGAACTCCTATATGAGAAAAACATGAAGTATTATGTAATCTTTTAAATTACTGAAAGGGGATGTCTTCCGTCTCCTAATCTGTTATTGGGAGGTAGCATCTGGTATTTGCAAATATCTTACAATAAAGCCTTCTACAGGTCTTGGCTGTCACAGTCTGTTATTTTTCCTTTTATTAACTTCTCTCAGTAATCCAAATTCCAATCCATTCCTTATAGTTTTACTTAAATGTGGTAATATTGAAATATATTACAGTCATTACACCTGTTAACATTGATGGCATTTAATTATACTTCTGAAATCTCCATATTTTCATAATGGTGCCTTCTTTGCCTTCTTTGCATAAATCTACCCTGCCATATTAATAGTTTTTAAATATTGAATTCGATTCAGCTCATCGTAAAAACAACCAGGATTTACTTAAAATATTTAGAGATGGATAAAGAGAGTTCATGGTCAGACTCAAAATAGATAGTTTATTTAGGGAATTGGGTGTCTTTTGAAAGAAATTGCTTCTTTCTGAATAGGGAATAGGTTTGTCAGGTTTATGTATTGTGATTGCTGCTGATGGTGGAGGAAGAAATATTTAGTGACAAGGCAAGACAAACTTAAAATATCCAACCTGACGCCTGAAATCTTAGCTCCTAGAATATGCTGTGATATAGTGCCATTTGTTTCCATAAGATTTTCATGGCAGAATTTTCCATTAAACCAATGGAGTGAAAACTGCAGCTCCTAAATGTCAGAGAAATACTCCTTCCAATATTTTTCACCATTGGCCATGCTGGCTAGAGCTGCTGGGAATTGTAAGTTTGCAACATTTAGAATGTAGGTGTCCTTTCCTTTACTGCATGTAAATCTCAATACAAGACATTTATAACCCCGGGAATGAAGCCAGATTGCCTGAACAGCCATTCAAAGCATGAATATTACCTTCCAAGAACAGATGCACCATGAGGCTTCTTTCCTTCCCAGCATCTGCCTTTATGATCACCTTTCAGTTTGACAATTCCTTCGGTGCTGACTTGCTTGTTCTGTAAATGTAACGCTACATTCCTGGGACACCTTTGCAGAACCATTGCAGTCTTCACCATTATGAGGATATCAGAGCTTCTTGGGGAAGAGAATGATGGCAGAACAAAAAGCAGAATTGATTCGGTCCTGTCCAGCTTCTCTATGCTTTTCTGTTTGGTACATTAAATAAATTATGCCCAATTCTGTTCTGATGCTGAGCACAGGACGAATGTTAAGCACAACTTCTGGCACCGCATTCCTCTTCGTAATAAAGTAATTTTTGGGATCCATGAACCAATTGTTGCTCATTTGTCTTCAGCTTGGACAGGCTGAGTTTATTCTTAAGCTGAAAAGGCATCTGCAAGAGTTCTAAAATGTCCTGTCTCCCTCCCTGTCCACTGTGTGTGCCTGTGTGTATTTTCTGGTTGTTTATGTATTCATATAGCCTCCTCATTGAGTGAGCCAAATGCCTCATTTTACATGACACAGAGGCCATCAGCCTTGGTAGCTGCTACTGAAATATTTATCAAATGTCTGCAGATGCAGGGGATGAATGAATGAATTTATGAATGAGTTAGTGAGCAAGCAAATGAATGAATATGAGAGTCAGCATTACTTGCCCTTAATCTTGCTAAGCAGTTCCAAATGAGTTGTCATACTAGATGGCAGAACACCTTTTGCAAACTGTGCATTCATTGTCGTGCTGAACAGATCTCACAGTAATAGATGCAAATTTTTGGTGTTTTTGAAAATTGAGCTTCACTCACTTGATTTCCTTCAAGCCCTAGATCTGGCAGGAATGTGTTTTTTTTTTAATTCATAGTTCTTCCCTAGAAAATAACTTGCATTAAGAAATATGGGACTGCTTGTATCAATTTCAGCAAGGTGGGAAGTTTCCTCTAAACTTGATGCTTATGTACATAAATGTAATATACTGTATAATGTATAAAAATATATGTGTATGGGTTTGTGTTTATATTATTTATTTATTAATTATTAAACTTCTGTGCCATCCATCACACTGAGGTAACTCTATACATACATAACATTAATGTATAGGTATATGTATGTTTCAATCCTGTTTAATTAATTAAATTTATTCACACCTTTTCATTAAAAATTGCTCAAAGTAGCGAACAATAAAGTATAAAAACAGACATAAAATGCAAAATATAAAGTATTACATAAGATTCAAACTGTATGCAGTTGAAACCAATTACTCATTCACAAATTGGTTATATTCAAATGCCTACTTAATCTCTTTAAAAATATGTGTTTTCCTGAAAATACTGAACCACAATCTATTCTAGACATCAATAGTTCCAAACCCAGCACTAGCCATAGAGAAGACTTTTCCAAATTTCTCAAGAAATGGCCCAAGCTACAAAGAACAGAACATTCCAGAATATCTTCAAGCCTTTTTATGCCCTAAACTAGAAGAAGGAGCCTTAGGAAAAATGGATCCTATCAAATATATCTTCAAAAGCTGTATGTTGCATTGTGCTTGGAAATAGACCAGGAAAACATGTGATATGGAGAGGCGGCGGCAAACTGATCCTACTCAAAAATCTAGGTGTAATATTCTGAACTAGCTGAAATGTATGCACAGCATCAAAGGCAATTTTCTGCTGAGGAAGCTTTAGCACTGTAGTCCAAAGGAAATGTAGCTGTGTGTCACCATCTTTGATATTTCAAGTTGGTTTGTTTGTCCTAAGCGGGCACAAGTGCTCCTTGCCATTATGCAAGTCAGATTCAAAGTGGAATGGGAATACTGAGTCTTGGGAAACTCTGATGAAGCTTTCATGT